ACTCCAGCAGCAGGACTGTGTCTGTAGACGTAGACATGCACACATGTGGAGATGCCAGCTTGACAGCTGCTCTAGTGGGGCTCTGGCTGTGGAAGACTGAACAGGAGCAGAATGACTGGTTACCTGCAAAGTCCTGAAACTGGCAGGTGTTGTGTTGGAGTTCTGCCATGCTCTGTCACAGAGCATCTCAGCTGCCTAAGTGTGTCACAGCACTTGTTCCCCATTGAAATGTAAAAGCCAAAAACAGTACTTTGAAACACTGGATGCTATGCAAACGCAGGCTACTTCCAATATTGGTTCTATGATCGGTCATCTGTGTATCCATAAATAGAGGTCTGTGCCTGGGCAGATCCAAGGTCTAGAACTCTCTCTAATGAAAATGTTTTGGTGGTGACCCTGCCCCTCCTGTCTACAGGTCTGAAACGGCTGTCCCCTTATTTCAAAATTATGATAAAGCTACAGGGTACTTAGTCAACCACAGGTGTCGAAGGAGGGAGGAAGAGCAAGCCGTGTAAATATACAAATGACCAAATGAAGAGCAAACGTTACAAGCAAGCAACCTGCTTCCATTTATCGTGGTCTTTGTGCATTACCCACATGGGTGAAGACTAGTGAGCTTATATGCAAAAAAAACCCCATGAAGACATGTGGGTAGGTACCTGCTGCAGTCATTGGAGAACAACAGAAGTGCAAAAGGAAATGTCCTTCCAAGATCCAGTATCAAGACGGCCATGTCAAATGAGGTGCAATGGTTGCGGCCAGATGGTGGCGTGACATAGTTCATGTAAGATGATTCCTTTCATCAGTGACACAGGCATCACAGTGGGACTTTTGCCAGTTGATAGGCTGATGTAAGGGATTTTATTGTCCACTTACTGGCTAAAATTCAATAGCAATTCGCAACCAGAACAGGCCCATTTAATCAGTGTTATGTTCCACTGGATCTACTCTTGTTGCAACTTACTACTGATTTCAGCCAGTGGGTTACTGGGGAAGATACTGGAAACCCATCTTAAGACCCTAGTGACCTAAGAACAGAGAAGTCTTCTAAAATGCACTGTGCATTTAATTAACTGTGCATGGAGTATTCCAAGCCCATGATGGGGGATAGAAGCATAACATCTTATGAAAGGTGAGATGTAGAAATGACTTTGGGTAAAAACAAAATATGAGACAGAAGATGACTCCATTCATAAATATCTTGAGATCTACTGAAGAGGTTAATCCAATGATTTGTCTTGCCTGTCACAAGGGAAATGGGGGTTCTGCAACATCAGCACCACAAGGCTCCAGTGAGATATGCAATTATGGAAGTGGGCCATTATAAGAAAGCAAGAAGAGAGAGTGCATGAGTGTCTTTTTCACACTTTCAGATACTGTGAGCAGAGAAACTTGCACACTTTGCTAATTGGGAGCTGCACATAAATATACCTTATTAACTGCTAAAAAACCCCTGGCCTTGTGGCAGATTTTATTGAGCCGTTTCAATGGCCTGCAGCATGCATGCCCTTTAGTGTATCAAAACTTGTATGCATTTGGTCTTAGAACAGGGACTGGTTCAAAGACATACCAATAAGCATAACATAAAATCTTTTTTTAAGCATAGAAGATACTCTTGTTTGACAGAAGTAAATTTCTAAAACTATTTTGAAAATCTGTCATGGTATTATAACAACTTATTCAGGGGAGATGGCTGGAAATTGTGCCAAACTTTCAGGAACAACTGAGGTTATTTCAGAGTTTCAAAACAAGAATCACCTTCTATTTTGATTAGGTTATTTTTGTTTTCAGACTCCAAAGGAACCTGGAAAACTCCTGAATTCTTATCACATTTTCTAACCAGCTCCACAGAATAAGTTGTTTTAATAACCTGTCAAGGGAATAGTTATCGCTATCAGAATATTAATATGTAGAAAGCCATCAGGGAGTAGTATTTGTTCACTATTACTCAGAGTGCTCATCTCTGTAATTAGGGTGATAATGTTTACAATCTAGCCACTCTTGTTTCAGATTGACAAAGCATGCAGTGGAGACAGGTGCCATTGATCCATTTCTAGAGTAATAACCATCTTTATAAAGGAACCCATTATTTCTGAGGTGGGCGTAAACAAATTCATTAACATATGAGTCACAGCAAGGAATGCAGAATTCCAGCAGTTCACGATGCAAGTCAGCATAACATAAACTTGGATCATATTATATCGTGAATGAAGATTATGTGCCTGCTTGTATTTGTCAAAAAGTATCCTAAATATAAAATTAATAGTAAATCCAATCACAAGGCACACAAAAACTGTGGAATGACCTCATCTTCGTAGTCCAGGATGGCAAATTTCTAGAGGCCAGGAGGAGTTATACTGGACCCTCCCACAATCCACTGGGGCTGCACTCCCCTGATGCTGAACTCAAAACCACTACTGTACTTCTTTATATGCAAAGAGGGCATGATTAGGAGTGGGGACAAGTGCATATGTAGGATTTTCTTATTAAAATTACGTTCTCAAAAGTTTCTAAGACAGTAGTTTTACTACAAGCAAGCAAGCAAGCAAGCAAGCAAAGAAAATTAAACAAAACCAAAGCCCAAAAGTGTGCTGCTCCTTGTATGTCTTCTTTACAGACAAAATACACATGGTGATTTTTGCCCCACAATTCCAAATTTGCTGGCAAATACACTGGCCAAAACAGCCTAAACATGTACATACAGCCCATGTATTTCCAGTCCCTACTCTATGGAAACAAAATAAACTTGCGGAGAAAAACCACATCATTATTATTATTATTGTTATTATTGTTATTATTGTTATTATTGTTATTATTGTTATTATTATTATTATTACTACTACTACTACTACTACTACTACCACCACCACCACCACCACCACCACCACCACCACTACTACTACTACAGTGGTACCACGCATAACAAGTGATTTAACGACAAATCCGCATAGTGATATGTTTTTTGCAATCGCAAAAGCGATCGCATTGCGATGTTTCTAATGGTAAAACATCGCTTTCCGATGATCGGTAAGCGTTTCGCTTTCCGATTTTCGCATAGTGATGTTTTTTTAACAGCTGATCGGTGGTTCCAAAATGGCCGCCGGGTAAAGAAAATGGCCACTCGCTGTGTTTTCGCGCCCTTTCCTCGATTACTGGGCAGCGAAAATGGTGGCCCCATGGAGGATTTCCACAGAAAGGTGAGTTTTTTTGCCCATAGGAACGCATTAAACGTGTTTTAATGCGTTCCTATGGGCTTTTTTGCCCCGCATAGCGACAAATCCACATAGCGATGATTATTTCGGAAAGGATTATTGTCGCTATGCGGGGCACCACTGTATCATCATCATCATCATCATCACCATCATCATCATGTTCCCTATGAATACTTTCACATTATGGTTTCATAATTGTCCTTACCATAAAGATGCCAACAATTGATATTTTCATGTGAGCTGGCTATGAAATATTAATTTTAATCCCAAATTACACAAAGGCCCTAAAACAGTTTTTAACTTTGTTTTAATAGCGTAAGTCGCAGTTTATTGTGACAGAAATAAGATTGGCCTCCACACAGTTCGCAGTGTTCCCACCCTCATGAGTTTAGAGATTTTTGCTTAGATGGTATTTTTAACAGCGGTTTGTTGTGTTACCTGAATTTAATACACCATGGTTTATCTTAACTATGTTTTGTTCAATACAGGCCAGTTTCAAGCTGGACATAATGAAATTGGGTTATCTGAAATACAGTACATGAAAGGCTAACCATAGTTTAGGCTATGGTCCATGTCCTAAACTGTATTTAACTGAAGGATAAGCAAAAGCTCCTGATCTGTTCTTTTTGCCTGGAGGAGAGACTGCTCATTGTGCCTGTGCAAGTGTGGGAGATTGCTAGATTTATTCTCAAGATAAATAATAGTTTAGTGGAACATTCAAATGGACTGCACAACTGAAGTCATTTTTTAAAAAAATAATGACAATTACTTAAAAAATCACATCAGCCATTTTGGCTGACAATGTGTTTTCTTGAAACATTTTAAAAAACTACACATTAAAATCTCTTGCTGCAAGTGACAATATAGTCCTAAACCTGATTTGTAGGACCCAGCTAGAGTGAACTCACTGAATCAACTGTTCAGTGGTGAGGCAAATTTTATGTAAATCCCATTTACTCAATTACATCTACTGTTGTTAGAAATAACAACTGAATTTACATCACTGTTTTTAACTCTGCGTACTTTATGTCAAATAATGTAGGGTGCCAAAACGTCAACTGTAATACCCAGCAACGCTTCCTCACTACTTAATGGACAAAATCCTTTTGCCTGACTTATGTCTGTGTTGAGAAAATGACATTACTGCAATAGTGGAGTATTCCGAGTTAGAGTCCCTGCTGGGTAGTTTTGCACATGATCTGTCTGAATTCTAGGTCATCCACAAAGCCCACCTATCCATGTGAAATGCAAAATTGCAGGGGGGACTCAAATTAGTGGCAATTTACTACTTCAATAACATCAGTTCCCTATTCTGTGATAAGCTACACAAGAAGATGCTTCCCTTAAGTATAAGAGGCAATGGATGCCCACTACTCATTTTTCTGAAAACACAGTATTAAATATAAGTCTTAACAAACATTTTTGTATTCTCACTGGCATATGCTATACACACTCATACACATACTTCTACCACCTTATGTCTTCTGATGTACTGTGTATGTAGACAATAGTAAGTGAATAAATAAAAATTAAGCTGTTCAGAAGACATGTATGAAAAGAGGTGGATTATTTCCTTATCTTGCATTTGTTAATTAAAAGCACATATTCAAGCAACACAAATGTAGCTCTCTCTAGACATGCACACACACACATGCTTCTAGTGACTACTTATAGCATTATATAAAAGGGAGGCTGTATACCAAATTGATAGACTTGAAAAATAAGTTTTTTACACAAGTAAGGTGTTACAAAGAAAACAAAGAACCGCCAGGGAAAACATGAGCTTACCTGTCTTTATAATTAATCACAGTATCAATGATGGCGTTCATCTGCTTTGTCAACTTAGGTGGATTGGGTGACAATTTCTCTGCTGGGGGTCGTCCCCTTCTCTTCTTTGCCTTCTCACCATCCTCCTTGCCTGAATCTTTGTCGACATTTCTTCTCCTTTTTCGTTTTTTAAGCCGAACCTCCTCTTCCATTTCTTCCAAATTGCCGTCTTCAATTGCCTGTTATTAGTTGAGAAGTAGAAAAATTTATTTTGAAAAATCCAAGTTGCTAACACTGAGTATATTTTTTTTAAAAACACTGAAAGGCGTAAACATTGCATTATGAACTGAATAAATGTACTCCAAGTCCAACAACAACAATGAATAATCAACAGAAATAGGTTAGAAGTGTAGTAGTAGTATTGCTCCAAGTAATTCTAGTGCACGTGATACCATAACAAGGCCACACCCCAAAAGGCCACTGATGCTACAGTAGTGTACCCCCTCACTCAAAGCATGATTAACACAACAGTGTAAGATTTCATATATAGACAACGCAATTGCTATAAGGCAAAAACAAAAACAAAACCCTTCTTCAAAATGCATCTACTTGCATACCTACACACACACACATATATATATATTTCAAGATCATTTAAGAATACACCTCAAAAGCACCAAGTAATTGTCCGTTAACATAATACCTACTGACAATGTAGAAGTGGTGGACAAGGCATTGTTCTATATTTAAGAATACTAACATTATGGGATGGGGAAATGGCATAACTCAAACAAAAATCAAGCAATATATGCTAGGTCAACATTTACCTGTAATGTTTTGCTTTAAAATCACAGCCAACAGCGCTATATATTGAGAAAACAAAAACAATCCAGGTGGAGAGGAAATCTGTTCACACTCTGTCTAAGAAATCCATGTGGCAGAGAAGCTGAACTTTCTTTAGTTTTAAGACAGAAGGAAAAGCCAGAGATATGGGGCACTCTAGTCTTAATATTTTAAAATTAAAAATTAAAAACACATTATAGGAAAGAAAAATACACACATACACACACCTGCTTTTTAAAATTAAAAGTGCCAGCTGTTATGATAAACGCTTTCTCAAAACAAAAATGTTGATATTGTCCTTTTTCCTTCTCTGTGCAGGCTAAAATACATGCAAATGCTAATCAATCCTTTCCCAGAGCTGAGAGAGCTCTAATCATAAGGCAATTACCTTCATTTTTCCACAGCACCAAACATGGCTAATATTTATGATCATGTGAGTGCAACAATCAATATACAAAGAGTGATTACATCCCAGGCACAATTTCTTTCACTTGAGTTACATCTCTTGTAAAACGGTTTGTGCACAAAGCCTGGCATACCATGCTACGCTGGCTGGCATGTTTAAAACGCCAGTGAGATTTTAGAATCTGTTTTCTATTCATCCTCCAATATGAAATCCACAGAATGAACACAAACGTGCAATCCTGAGGGAGAGCCTGAAACCCAGGCCTTAATAATCAAATGACAATTTCCATCATGCTTCCACAGCCTTCAGATAACCCTGAGGTCTGATGAGTTATAAGAAAGAAAGAAGGACAGAAAGAAAGAAAGGCAATAACAACAACAAAATATCTCTGCACAGAAATTCATTAATATTCATTTGGCTAAAGCAGGACACCCACTAGACACCACAGCAGCTAGCGAAGATTAAGCAAAGGAAACTGTTCTGCAAATCCTGGAAGCAAGACATGCTAATAATAAATACAGGATGCAAGGCTGTCAACAGTTAATGTTACTGCTTCTCCTAAAGCACTCATTTGTAACACAGAAAACACAGAGAATACCAGCTTTTGATGTGTTACACACCTACACATGCCTGTGATGTAGTTCTACTGAATCTTCAAGACGGCAATGAAAAAGGATATTTACCTTACCACTATCAGCAGGCCGGCTATCGGAAATCACAGTTAGTGGGGATAAAATTAACAAGCCAGCAAAGCAGCGAGCTGCTAGTCTCTTCATCAGCTGATCAGGAAAAAAAAGAGAGCTGGGGAAAAGGCTATGTTTTCATATACAAGTAATTTTATTTTACTGAAAATGCAATACTGGAAGGATTGTTGATACTCAAATCTGCTGTTTCATGCTACCTACCAGAAGGCCCGAAGCCTTCTTCCTTCAACGTGCTTTAATATTGACAACTACTTATCATATTTTCCCCTTATTATTCCAGGAACTCAGATCAGATTTTTTTAAATTTATTTATTATTTTTTATTTGGCAAGGCAGTTATTGGTTCCTGGAAGCATTTTAATTATAATATCAATACTTTAAAACCCAGATATGTAAACAGATACCCTTAAAAAAATAAATAAAGGAACAAGCGTTTTAAAGCTGTATTACACACAAAACTGCCCCATTGTTCTTTTCTTCTTCTTTTTTAAATTAAGAATTGTGTTTTACAGAACTGGCATAAAACCATCATTTTTAAAAGACTGTCCTGACTGAATGTGCTTTGGGAAATGTTTATAAAGAAAAAAAATATTTCTGTGTTTAGTGATCTTCCTCCCCCCTCAGTCACAGAACCACAAAATCGCACTGCTATACTATTATTTCTGTATACAGTACCACACCTAAAAGGCTACCTAAATTTGCCAGCACTTGTTAACAAGAAGGCTTGGAAGAATTTAATTTAAAAAATCGATGTTATCAATACTCCTACAGACATGTATGCTACAGACTCATGTATGTTATGAATCTGTGGAGACTATATGAATGTTGGCAAGTTATTTGCAAGATGATACTTTTTAAAATGTTTTTATTGTAGCATGAAATAGCACTCTTACAAAAATAAGCCCTCTGAATTCTATGGGTCATACTTCCAAATCCACACAGTATTTTTATAAAATTAAAGAATATTTAATACCAGGTACACAATTCACAAAGCAAAGATTGGTAGGTGACCGCTAATTTGAATTCCTTAAGGCATATCAATTATTTGCACACTGCAAAAGATTAAGCAACAATTGATTTAGTCATGGGACAATTTCATATACTGTATTCTGTTGCCTGCAAAATTAGTGTGGAGCAGTGAAAACACAAGATTTCATTAAATTTTAATCCTATAACTATGGATGCCATACTTATATTTTCCAACCTTTCCCAGCATAGGGTTCCATTCCACATCACACAAGTGGACTCTACTTTTGCCAGAAGGATTCTCTTTCCTCTCTTTCATCTTGGCTCTCTCCTCCCCACCCAAACTGTACCAAAGAGTGCAATTTTTTAAAATTCAGTGGTGAATCTAGAGGTGTGCATAGGCCTGCCACAGGTAGTGTTCTGGAAATGGCGCCTGTTCTGGCCGACAGACACAGTGAGATCTTGTCCATATTAACAGAACAAATCCTAGAACTAGTTTCTAACTCTACACTCACATGAGCAAGACAGAGCCCAGCCTCAGGTCAACTCAATCTAAATAACTGAATAAAACAGAATTATAGGCATAGAACCTGCATCAGGTGGCAAATTTTGGGGTATTACAAGGCAGCAAACTATTAACTAGATAATTTTTATATTTTTACCACCATGTGGATATTATCTGAATTTGTTTCCTAAGGCACATATCTTACGGAACTATGGTATGTAAAGCAATAGATCGAAATTTTCAAATTTCTTCATCAAAATCCTTGGTTTCTTGGCCATAACTAAATATAACATTCCATTACCCACAAAGAGAACTATTTCAAAATTCTAGTCAATGAACTGGTTAACGTAAATTGTGTAATATATTCTGTGCTAGAACCTACTGTGCATGACCACCATGATATCCTCCCCATTACGTTACTCATTTCTCACAGCAACCCTCTACTAACTTAGTACCTGTTTGTCTACAATAAGAGAAAGATACTGATAACAAATGACTATTATCTGTATTCATTTCATATAAATGGATGTCTTAGAAGTATTTCTTCATATATCAAATATTATGCCTTGATATTAGCTTAATACATGCAAGACCCATAAATTAAAAGGAATGAGAAAAGGTGAGAAAGTCTGAAAGATGACCAAGGAAATTTCATTCGCCATTAGTCTCTAGAGAGACAAGTTAATAGTTGTATTTTTCAAAAACAGTTTGCTTCAGATGAACATCTAGCCTAGGATCTTTCAAAAGCAGGCATCTTCATCTCCATGAACATATGGCTCAGACAGACAGTCTCCATGTTTTGTTTGCAGCTACAGTGGGGTCTTGACTTGAGAACTTAATCTGTATTGGAAGGCGGTTCTCAAGTCAAAACGTTCTCAGGTCAAATCTGCATTTCCCATAGGAATGCATTGAGAACCATTTGATCCGTATCTGCTCTTTTCCGTCCCTAGAAACTACTGGGAAGCTGCTATTCCGCCTTCGACCACTAGAGGGGGATATTTTGTTTCTTTTTTTTTTCTTAGGTCAAGAAAGGTTCAGGGAAGGCAGGGAAAAGACAGTCCAGGCAGTACAGTACCAGGCAGTCCGAAGACTGGCTCCCAATCCACTCTCTAAACGCTGGGAGGAGTGAGGAAGCAGACAGGCACCCTTTTCACTGGCCAACAGTTAACTGAAAATTCAAATTTTGCACTTTCCCTGCCTCCCACTTGGTTTTTTTAGTTCTTAACTCAAATCTAAGTACAGTATGTAAGTCAAGTCAATATTTTCCTATGAGAGCGGTTCTTAAGTCAAAATGTTCTTAACTCAAGCCGTTCTTAAGTCAAGACCCCACTGTATATTGCAGCAAAATAACGTAGGGACACAAAGAGCAGGGAACCAATATAAAAATAGAAGCATAGACAAGGTCATGATTTTATTTCCCATCTTTTGAAAAGTACAGAGAATATGCAGCTCATTTGTTAATCTGGCAGCTTGGAAAACTTTGTGAGACTTTATACTGAGAACATTTTCATTAGGCTTCCGTGGCAGCTCTACCATGGTTACTCCAACTGGTCACAGCAGCTCCAAACCATAAACTAAGCCTATGACATTTATTTCTAGTTACGAGGATTGTTATAATAGAGAAGACGGAACACAAGTGTCATGACAAAGGTTGATTACCGCTCGGCAAGATACAAGGCATTTATTGTGATGTCAGGGCCCTACAAAATTTCTGAAAGTACACAGAATTAGACAGAGGAATGGACGGAGGAAGGGGAAGTAGGAGAAGAGAGGGAGGAGTCACGATAGGGGGAGAAGAGGGGGATTACCATTCTTC